TAGGCTTTATCTTTAATTCTAGTATGTCTCTTTCTTCTCAGATTAATAGTGTTGCTAGAAGGTTGCTAGAAGTTCTTACTTTCAACTACGTAAAATAAACAAATTTTTGTCTTTTCTTGAAAATCCTACTTTTCTACTTCCTGTTCCATCGATAGTCTTTTCTAAGATTGATTATTGTAATTCTCTCTACTATGGTCTTCCTGATTCTACTCTTTATCCTTTAAGTAAAGCTTTTAACTCTGCTGCTCGTCTAGTTGCTGGTGTCCCTTTCTTTTCTCATATTTCTCCATATTTTGTTCTTTTGGATACCTATAAAATATAGAATCATTTTTAAAATTTGCACATTTACGTATAAGTCTCAATCCAAATTATTTCTTAAGTACTTATCAGATATATTAATTGAACCTAAACACCTCGGTTTATGATCGTCTTCTTGTTCTCACTTCTTCATAACTTTTGCTAAACTGAAATTGTTTTTTCTGACCCTTTTCTCTGGAAATCTCTGATCCCTTCTCTGGCTACTTCTCCATCATTTACAAAGTTCAGGGCGGATCTCAAGACACATCTGTTTGCAAAATTCATTGAGGCGCGCTGTTAAACATCGCGGAAATAGCGCTTTACAAGCTTATTGATTAATTGATCGATTGAATGATTGACCAGAAAGGAGCCACAAATTTAAAAAAATTCTCTCTCGGGTCGAAAAATTTTGCTATTTAAGTACATATGTGGACAATCAAAAATAAAATAGTTCTCAATGCGGCCTTCACAGTAAAAAGTTTGTCCACCTCTGAACTAATTGATTGTTGATTGCGCTTCAGACACGGTCCGATTAATATTCAGATTTGCCTGCGCATGCCTGGTTTGTGTAGTTATGCCGGTGCCTGTATGTCATTCAAGCGGCCCGAGCAAGCAATAAGCCGGGCCTGTCCTGTTTCTTTTTTTGAAATTAGGTTTGAAATAAAATGTCTGGGCAGGCAAGTTGTGCAGGTGCGTGCGTGAGAATTGGTAGCTATTTATATTTGCATTACGCTGCTCAATTGACCAACAACCACTTCCGACCCATAATCGTCGTTATATCACATATGCGGCTCTAAATAGAACTCTATGAATGGACAATTAAATAAAGAAATAAATAAAATAAAATAAATAAAATGACTAAACATAGCAGCTGTGTACATTTGACGTTGCATTTGAAAAGGTCACGATCAGTTGGAGAGATGATGATGCATTAAGATTCCATGAGTGATCGATTTACTTCAAAATTCAGAAGTGTGTTGGCTTCTTTTAATAATGAAACAAAAACAACCTGAAAATAATAAAAAACTGGTTTTAAAATAATATTAAAGAGATGAATTCTCATTGTCAATTATTTGAGAAATGTTTCACAGTAAAGATAAACGAGTATGATAATAGAAATCTGCTTACAAATCTGCTAATTTCTTTCAAACAAATAACAAAAAAACACGCAGTACGTGAATGGAGTGATAAATGCTGAAGTAGGTTGAGATAATATTGATAAATTCTTGATTATAAAAAAAAGTTTAACAAAAGACAACACATAGCAACAAACTACGAAAAAGTGATGATATTAAAAAAGCAAACTTCTTTTGCAAATGTATAAGCACTAACTAAATAGGATGCAACGTGAATGGTTATCATGATTGATTATAAGGATCATTTTCTTTTTCAACTTTAAGTCATTTTTTGAACTTAGGGTTTTAAAAGATAAAACTATCCTACAGAAGATGAAATAAGCAAACGCATAAAAATAAAAATTCATATCAATAATAATGTAAAAAAGATTGTGGTTACTTTGGAAAACACCGAATGCATTGGAAAAAATTTTAATCGCATATTGACGTTGATGCCATTGTAGACTGTTGTCTAGTTCCACTTGATAGTGTTTTGGAAAAATTATATTACTTAGAAACATTTTCAATTTTGAAAAAATAAATCGGACCCCACAAGAATATATTTTGAATCATGCCTAGCTCGGTTGTTTTGGCCAGTAAGAATGATGAGGCAGAATGTACTGTCCTTCAATTTAATAAAAAATTCGTATTTTTCCAATTTTTTAAATTTTAATAATGCATAATTGTTATGATTACTTTACTTTTTAGACTAGAAAATTTTTTTGTTGGAAGAAGAACTTGGAAGAAGAACATTGAAAGAAGAACATTGGAAGAATAACATTGGATGAAGAATATTGGAAGAAGAACATTGGAGAAAGGACATTGGAGGATAAATATTGAAGGAAAAACATTGGAGGAAGAACATTGGAAGAAGAACATTGGAGGAAGAACATTGGAGGATGCTGAAAATGATAGCACAGGATCGATAATAATAAAGTGTGGTGCATCAAGGAAGAAATCATGAAAATCTTGTGATTTATATATATATATATATATATATATATATATATATATATATATATATATGATATTGTGATTATAATGCATATATGATATTGTGATATATATATATATATTATATATGTAATGAGTAATTTATATTATATATATATATATATATATATGATATATATATTTATGAGTTGCACGGTGGCCGAGCCCACAAGAATTAATTTTCTTTTTTTGGTCTCCGAATCATTCATGCTTTTTTGTTTGGTTTGATTGAATAAAAGTGATTTGATTTGATTGATTTGTTTTATAATATATATATATATAATGTGTATATAATGTATATATGATGTATATATATATATATATATATATATATATATATATTGTATATATTGTACACTGTAGTGTACAAATGTTTATACTTTTATAGAGATAAAATGAATTCGTATGTACGTTTCGACGTGGACAGTCATGCTGGATGTTCGTACGCAGACGACTCTCGTTATACAACGCGCCCGTCATTATTCGCAACAAATTTTCATTTTTTAATTTTATCTTCAATCTTTTTTATTTAAAAAAAAGACGAAAAATTTTGAAAATTTATAAAAATAATCACCTCGTCGATTACGATATAATATAATAACTTTGATGATAGTAATATTTTCAATTAGCGATAAAAAGCCATAACGAAGTTTTTAAGTAATAACATGTTTCAACGGATGTCACATTCTTTGCAACACAATAATAAACTGCGCACGGATTACTACTTCCAAAAAAACGTTAGTAGGTTTCGCGGTGAATGATTTGCAGATGGAAGAAGCCACACAATTTTCTAATTTGTCGCATATGTTTGGCTTTATTTTTGTGCAGATATTGATTGACCAAAACTGCTTGCTAAAAAGGTAAAACTTGTTAAAGAAGTTAATTGATTTGATAATTGAATTAACTCTATTAAATGCCTGTTGAAATCTCAGTTTTGAAATTTAGATCAAAAGATATTCCTACTATAATTGCACATATTTTTAATATTAATATAAGCAATATAACAGTTGGATTAAGCGAGGGTAGGCGGGAATACTGTTCTGGGGACTCCACAATAGAAGTTTAACCACTATAAATATTCTTCATCACTTGTTTAACATTTTTTAAAAAAAGGTCACCAACTTTTTGAAGAACCTACAATACTCTTTTGATTCCTAAAATAAACCCAGTTAGTGGCTGCCACATCTCTAAATTCCTCCTGATAACAATTCATTACAATTATACGAATGCTAAAATGTACAGCAGTTATGAAAACATGTAGCAGCACAATCACATTGAATATTATTTTGTTGGAGATTCAACTGAGACCAAATTTTTATATTGTGTAACACGTTTTTTTTTGTAAGCAGTTAAATAGCAACTTTTAACATTTCACATCGATTTCAAAATTTTTATTAGCAAATATATTATTTTTAACTCAATAAAATATTTTGTAGCAGGATTTAAATAAATAATTTTTACAAATTATTATATTCAAAATATTGAATAATGTTCACAAGTATTTTTACTTTGAAAATGGTCTATTTTATTTTTGTTTTGAAAATATTTTTTAAAAATTATGTATTTAATCTTTTATTTTAAAAATGATCCATTTTACATTTATTTAAAATTTGATTTGTATTGAATTTTTTTATGCATCTTCCTCTGCTTCTAAACAGCAGTGAAGTTCGTTGAAATAAGTTAACGAAACTTAAATCTTCAGTTGAATCTCTGTATAAATATCATTTTGAATTGTTTCAGTGACACACAACAGTTTAATTATGCAAATTTTCGTATTAAACACTGGCTTCATTGTAAAATATGGATAAAAATAACAAGCAAAAAAATATGTCGCCAACTTGTTTGAAAAAATCCAAACACCCTTCACAAAAAGTCTAGTTACATCGCGGTTTGAAATCATTGGAACGCCCTGTACAAATCTGGCATTTAAATAATTACAGTCTGAATTGTGGGTGGGACTGACTTAGTTGGAAGCTTGGCCCCTTCTTCACAACAATTAAAATGGGAGCAATGTTTTATTTTCGTCCTCCTATATTTTAGAAAAAAAATGTTGTTTCATTGTTGTCAATTTTTATCTGTAGCTTCTCGGATCAAGATAAATTGCGTTAATTTTATCATATTGTCAACAAAAAAACTGACGAAGTAAAACAACAGAAATTTTCACAAACCGACGAACAGAAATTTTGTCTAATTTTGTCACCTCACAAAATTCTATCGGTATATAAAATACTAAATATTTTACATGAATACAAATTAGATGTTATTAGTTTTTTTGGTATTAATTTATGTTATAAAAATTCAACGATTTATTTGTTAACCAAACAATCAGTCACTCAATAAACCTTTACATTTAATTATTTTCATATGTCACAACTCATCATTTTAACGTGACAAAAATGTTTTTTGAGAAAATCTTGTTATGAATAAATTGATTGAGATGTCAAAAAATATTTTATTTAAATATACATGTAGACTGAATGTGTATTTTTAAGAAAGAAAAGAAACAAAATTCATATATCCAACTTGGTTTGAAATTTTGGTTGCCTGGATGGATATTTTTGCTAGCATATAAACAAATAAATAATGTAAAATAAAATGAACGAGATGTGCGTCAGCGGCGCAGGTATCTGTGTAGAAAAATATGATGATAATGTTGTGAGAATAACATGATGATAACGTTATAAAGAGAATAGCCACCTTGTTTGTTTGACTATTCTCAACGATTCACTCAAGAACTCTCAATAGTCATCCAATCCCGTACCTCGGAATTTATTCTCTAGTTGTAAATGAAGTCAAATAAAATATCTGTATTTGTATTGAGAAATAATATTGAAACTTTATTCGCGTAGGTTAAAATCAATTTGACAGAAAACGATTTTATAAAAAATTTCAACAAAAATTCTTCCTACCTAAGTGATGTTAAAGTTATTTTAAAATTTTCTATAAGAACGTTTACTATCAAAACGTTTTTTAAAGCCAGAACTTATTTAGTGACTTATATATGGGATAACTTATATAGGATTATGCGTTATAAAAAGCATTTCTAAAAAAAGTTACCAATGAGCGGATGACTGGCAGATGAAATTTAACATAGAAAAATGCACTGTCATTCACATGGGAAAAAAAACAAGCAAAATATATAAGAATTTGGAGAGAGACCTCTGAAGGTTTCATCGGAAGTAAGGGACCTTTGAATAAGTCTAGACAAAAGTAAGGAACCTACCAGGAAATGCATAGAAGCAGCAAAAAGAGCAAACAGTACAATTGTTAACAGAGATAAATCATTAGTGTTAAATCTATATTAAACGTTAATGCGACCTAAATTAGAATATTGCATATAGGCATGGAGTCCTCATCGGCAAAAAGAAAAAGAAGTGTTGGAAAAATTGTGAAGGACTTTCATATGAGGAAAGGTTGAAGAGATGTGGACTGACAACTTTGGACAAACGTACGACTAGAGGAAATCTCATTCAGGCGTACAGAATCTTAGCAAAAAAAGATGAGATAGATTCAACCTTATTCTTCCAATTTACAAAAAATAGAAACACAAGAGGCACCAGTACAAACTTTTCAAAGAAAGAGTAGGAACAATTAAAGGATGATTTTTCAGTTCGAGAGTTATTGAATATTGGAATAAGCTGGACGATAAAACTGTAACAGCTCCTACAACGCAGGTGTTCAAAGATTGAAATTTTAAGTCCATATTATTAGTCAAAATCGATCCAGGGATTCTGACACAGAGTGTTCCATTAATTTATCGGATTCGATCATTGGTACACCGTCCCTTGTTTGGACAAAAAGAAAACAGTGGATATTATGTACTAAGATTTTGCTACTTTTAATAAGGTAATAAACGTTTGGCCTTAAAATAAAAGGCAAGTGGAATCACAGGAAACACACTCAAGTGGAATTCTAATTAACTACAAGAAAGTCGACGAAAAGTTGGTATTGGAAAAAGTTTCTCAAACTGGAGCAATGTTACAATTGGGGTTTTTCAAGGATCCGTATTAGGGCCGTTGCTATTTGTAATATACATCAATGATATTGATCTAAAAATAAAGTTTAAAATTTAAAAATTTGCAGATAACACTAAATTATGTGCTGTTGTAGACAACGATAAAGATATTGAAATAGCAATTGGGCAGAGGATTGGCAGGTGGTGTTCAACACTAACAAACAACAAATGCGCAGTCATAAATATGGGAGCGAACAACAAGGCAAACGTATTTAAACTTGGAAACACACCATTAAAAAATGTAGAGGAGGAAAAGGATGTAGGGGTGATAATTCATCGGAATGGTAAGGTAGCGTGGCAATGCATCGCGGCAGCTAAAAGTGCAGACATGACTCTGGGTATGATAAAAAGAGCAGCAAAAAGCAGAGATATGATAGTTATATTAAATCTATATAAAACATTGGTTCGACCTAAGTTCAGCTTTGGAATCCAGATTTCCAAAAGGACATACATGTGCTTGAGAATATTCGAAAGAGGGCGACGAGAATGATAAAGGAGTGTCACTATATACCATATGAAGACAGATTAAAAATTTGTGGATTGACAACATTAAAAAAAAGAACAGGATGATATTTGATTCAGACATAGAAAGAGAATTTGGAATCATCAAAATTTTTTGAGCATAAGATCAACAGTAAAACAAAGGACATAAATGTAAAATTTTTAAAAAAAGCTCAAAATCGATAAAGCAAAAATTTTCAACTGCAGACTTGTCAACGAGTGGAACAAACTGGGAGGTGAAATAATATGCGCAAAAACAACTAATGACTTAAAAGCCAACTTGGCAAAAGTAGGATATTAAAAGAAAGTCTCAGAGTGGTCATTCCACATTTCACAGGTCATTTCAGAGTCTTTTTGGATCAGATCACTATAAAGAATCTTTGTTTTGTTATGTTATGTAACACATTTTTGGCTGTTGTTATAGTTGCCATGTGGGATGGTGGTTGTCTTTTTCTATTGGCTAGGTTGATTTCTATACTCCTTGTCTTTTCATCAAGATGGCAGAAGCGTCCGCTGACTTCAATGGCTCCAACAGTAAAATATCAGCTCCGTGTCTATTTTTTTATGCAGCTCTGACATACGCAGAACCGTTTACATATCATCCCTGTATTTAAACGTTCGTGCTGCAAAGACTGTTCCATCCACACCACACGGCGTACGTACACATCATGTATGCACGCGCAAGTACCGCATCATACGCGCATGGCGTATGATAGTTTTGAGTTCCGACCGACAGTATTCGAACCAGGCCATCGCGTAACTGACCGAGACATGGTACTTCTACCGACAGAGCTAACTCTCCGACCGATATACAAATATGTTATACCCAAAAACGCATAGACAGAGATGCACATAGCACGTTGTATTTCAGTTAGGCTATCGTGAATATTAAATATTTTCTAAAAATTACATCCAAAATGAATTTTTGAAAGTAAACATATGGCCAATGAGCTCAGTTGATAATAAATCCGTTCAATGTATCGTAATGTTGCTAATCAAATGGTCTCCTGCTGATTCGGCCATTGAAAACAAACAATATGTTTGCGCTGTGCAAATATGCACATATTTGTACATACTTTCATATACAATACGCGACATTTATACAAACTGCAGTTATATCATCACCATGTAAATAAATTTACACACGCGTACACACACATACAGGCAAAATAAATAAGTAAATATAAATAAATAAATATATATATACATGGTGATATATATATATATATATATTTATTTATAATACATATATATATATTATAATTATATATATAATATATATATATATATAGATGGTGACAGCCAAATTATGTCATTTGTTCTAAATAAATACCATTTACAACCATCCATTCCATATTGTGAGAGTATTTTCAAAAAGTTAGTTAATATATTATATAATAATAATTAATTAAAAATTGGACAAAAATATTCAATGCACACGTGTATATTGTATAAATGTATAACCATGTTTTCGTTGTCATATTTTTCATCATTTTTGTAATCTTTACAAGCATCTCATCTCATCCCCTACTTTAAATTTATTATCATTTTCAGATGTCATTTGGTTGTTTCTATTCAAGTTTTTATCCTTTTTTGTTAGTAGCTTTCTGTGGTTGTATTAATATTCTTCTATTAGCTAATTTGAATTTCTTCAAAAATAAGCATAACATATATCTGAAATTGAATTTAGTAGCAGTGAAGTGAATTGATTACAAGTATAAAAAAACGAATAAAACAAAATTACACAAAAAATAAGAAATGTTATTTGTAACAATACGATCAGCCAAGTTAATCTGCTCAGAAATACGATCTACTACTAACATTTATTTGTTTTGCTGCATTGCAAGCTGCGTGTTAAAAATAACTATCGTCAACCATTTCAAGGCACTGGTCAGATAACTTGCAGTTTCAATTAAATACGCTGATTCCAGTACTAAATATATGATGAAATAAAGTTAATAAAATTTCAGAAAATACAAAAACTGAATATTAAATGGGAGCTTTTCATGTCTTTAAAGCTGTAAATAAGCTTATTATTGTTGATCCGAAAAGGTGCAAACTGTTTGCAATATGGCCAACAGCCATTTAAACAACGTTGCGTTCGTTCGGTGTAGATAGCATAAACTTAGATGGCGAGTAATTTTGTTTACACACTGACACTCTGCAACGATTATTGTTAAAAACATTCTATGAGCAGTATCCAATTTTGATAGATGTTAAAAAAATTTAGTTTAATAAGTTCTTCGAAAAGTTCAGTTGGTTTGCCCAGCTTTTAAAAATTAGTTTTTTAAACTCTTTTCAGAAACCTAATCTCATCAAAAAAGTCTTCTGCTATTTCATTTTCGTATTTACATTCTGAATTAATTCTGTTTCATTTCCTCTTACATTGCATTAAAATTCTGTAAAAATTTAAATAAGTTACGAACAGAAAAAATGAATTTAAACATTTGTGGAGTCTCACAAAAGCGTGCTCATGTAAATATGCTCAGCCGATACATAATCGGCTATTTTGCGATTTGTTGCTACTTTTAACTTTGAATACACAATGGTTTTCAATTGTGATTCCTCACAAATTTGCTTATTAAGAAGAGATTGCTTGGTTATTAATGCTGAAAAAATCGGTCAATCTCAATTTATTTTCGTTGCTTTTATATTACATTTTAATATTATTATTTAAAAACTTTTCATTAGAGACCGGTAAAATTTTGAGGTTCGTGTCAAACGACCCTCCTGTCTTCTAGAGCCTGTCTCCCACTCACGACTCTCGAGCCCTCATCCTGTTGGAATTTTCATTTAACTGCAGAACCTGAATCGCTTATTTTAAATCCAAGAAATGTTGGAACAAATTGTATTTATGAATTTTAAATTCTGATGTGTTTTAAATCAATCAAATAACCTATACAATTTTTTCTTTCAAGAATTTTTTTTAATTCTTGAAAATTTTAATACTCTGTTGTCACCCAAAACGACCTAGTTAAAAAACTTGTAACTTTAACAATCATGAAGTAAACGTTTTTCAGTTACTGTTTTTCCATAGAAACATTTTTGGGTTAGAACACAACACCATTTTATTTTAAACCCGAATAAACTCTTGCAAGCAAATAAATTTTTTTACAGAACTTCAAAAAAGACATTTGGAAGATTTCCCCGAGGCAGCATCAATGAATTAAACTGCTGCAACGAACTTAGGGCTAATGTAATTGATGGGAATGTTTGATCAAATAGTATCTAACTCTGTACAACCCTAAATCTAGCTCTAGGTACATGCATACTTATAACATTTTTATCGGAAGAAGAATTCAATTTTTATATTTCATGTAAGAGGGATATCCAGATATGGACACAGTACGATACGATAAGATACGATATATTATTCTCTTCCAAAAAAATAAAAAATTGGCTATGCTTTCTTCTATTGTTAGACTGATGAGGTGGGTGAGAATAAGCGATATTACATGAATTAGGCTGAAATAATTTCTATGTTCGTGTATGTGTTTATGTGAGATGAATGTGAATGTGTTTAGGTTGGATGGATGTTGATGTGTTCTTGTAAGATGAATGGAGATGCTATCATGTGGAATGGGTGTGGATAAGTTCATATATAAGATAGGTGTGGATGTGTTTTTGTAAGGTGGATGTGGATGAGTTCATATAGGATGGATGTAGATGTGAATGTTTATGACAGCGTTAATAATGCATCAGATGTGCACAAAAACAAAAATGTTTTGGTTTGTAGCTTTATGTTTGTGACTTTATGTTGGCGCTCTTGAAGCTCAATGTTTTTACTAGATGCACACAACTTATGTACACAAGCCTGTGTACGAATCTGTACATATGTGCCGATAACAAGGACGAAGTTATGCAGTCAATAGATGTGGCTGGTGCGTCTCAGTGTTGTGCACTGTTTGTGTTTGTTTAGTGCCTTGTTCCTCTTCATCCTATAAAATCATTATTTGTTTTTGGGCGTTTTAAAAATCAAAAATTACTACAATGACGAAGATGGTGATGGTGATGCACTTGTGGGCAGATGATGTGTTCGATCGATAAAAAAAAAAGATAAAAATTTGAATGAGGATGTTGAAGCTAAAAAAATATTAACATTTAAAATTGATGATAATTAAGATTAAAATGGTTAAAAATGAGATTTCAAATGTTAAGAGCGTAAAATAATCTAAACATTAGCCTACTAACGCTTGTCAATCAGTCAGTTCAGTAGCGTAGACCAAAATATAAACGCGATTTTAAAATTACAAAATATTTTCTCGTACATGTGTCAAAAACTCATTCAAAAGTACGTAGAGTAAATTTGAATGATTCATGTTGCAAATGCATTGACAGCTTCACCAGCACTATAACAAATCGTGCCCAGAGGAGCAAAAGCTGGTTCCACTTTGAAAAGGCAGATCTGTGCCGCACACATGTTTTCGTCGCTTACTACATTCATTTTATTAAAGTATACTCTTAAAATTCTTTTCAAAAACCAAAGATGTTAGTAAATATCCATCAACTTATTTTTCGGTTTTTATCTGATTCAAGCATTAAATTAAAGTATTTTGTCATTGCAACTTGCAGTCATGAATTTATTTTGATAAGTACACATTTCGAAACTGCCCGTTGCCGTGATGTCCAACCTTTTTTTATTCTGAATGATAATGTTGAAAATGTATCATAATAATGTTGATAACGTATAATCACTTGCTCTGGTGAAGTCTAAAGTGGTGTCAAATGGAGTTGGACGCACGAGAATTGCACCGCATAAACAGAAGATGCTCATCTCTCCGTACTTATTTTCTAAAAATTTTGTTCTTATAAAAAATTATTTACTTGAATGTTCGAAAGTGAGCTAGCAATAAATATTCATTAAATTTATTTATTTCGTTAGTGAGTTTGTTTGTTTCGCTGCGTGTGTTTGCAGATTAAAAAATTATCGCCCAACGATAACTAAACAAAAGTAATCCTGAATATTATGAACACATGGATGACGTGTGTAGGATGCTGTTTTGGTGATGATGCAGTGACTGGGTTCAAATGCAAATGATCCCCACCTATCGCATGCTATGTGCGTGTGTATGTTTGTTTGTTTGTGTGTGTGGGTGTGTGTGTGTAGAATGCCTGGATTTACGCATATTCACATGTGTTGTGTGTTTGTATGTTGTTGTGAACACTTAGAATTGATGACAATAATAATGATTTTATTTCAATTATGATGTCTGTATAATTGTGTTTTTGTGATGATGTGTGTATGTTGATGTTAGTAGGATGAAGTTTGCAGGAGGATGTTTGTGTGGTGATGTTTGTATGATGATGTTTTTACGATGACACTTGTAGGATGTTGTAAATTGTACGTTGATGTTTGTACTTTGATGTTTGTATGTAGATGTTTGTATGTTGATGTTTGTATGTTGATGTTTGTACGTTGATGTTTGTACGTTGATATTTGTATGTTGATGTTTGTACAATGATGTTTGTACGATGATGTTTGTACGATGATGTTTGTATGATGATGTTTGTACGTTGATGTTTGTACTTTGATGCTTGTATGTTGATGCTTGTATGTTGATGCTTGTATGTTGATGCTTGTATGTTGATGCTTGTATGTTGATGTTTGTATGTTGATGTTTGTACAATGATGTTTGTACAATGATGTTTGTGTAATATTATTTGGAGTTCAGGGGATAACGCATAAAAATGCAAATGAGGTTATTGATGCTGATGTTGCGGACGATGATGATGGTGATGCCATAGTTGTTCTTCATGTAACTTAATGTCATAACCTTATGTTAGCAATTTAAATACTTGACTATTTGTTATGTTTTATTTTTAGGAAAACGATTATACTTAAATAAACAAGTTAATGATTAATTTTAAAATTAATTTGTTATGATGATAAACAAATGAATCATTAAAACTTGGCCTGATTTTACAAAATGTAATAGAGCTGGTTACTTGCATCGTTCAAATTTGTAAGCTTGTATTTGCAAACATGCATTTGCGCATTGTAATTATTCATTCATTTGTTTATATTTACGTTTTAATCTTTTGTCTCTGTGTTGAATTCACCTATGAGCACATCCACCAAGTAACTTATGGTGCTTCCATATATTTATTTAACACACCATCAATCATGCATTTTTCGTTTTAATACTAATTCATTCATTCATTCACTCATTCATTCATTCATTCATTCATTCATTCATTCATTCATTCATTCATTCATTCATTCATTCATTCATTCATTCATTCATTCATTCACTCACTCACTCATTCATTCATTCATTCATTCATTCATTCATTCATTCATTCATTCATTCATTCATTCACTCACTCACTCATTCATTCATTCATTCATTCATTCACTCACTCATTCATTCATTCATTCATTCATTCATTCATTCACTCACTCACTCATTCATTCATTCATTCATTCATTCATTTATTCATTCATTCATTCATTCATTCATTCATTCATTCATTCACTCACTCACTCATTCATTCATTCATTCATTCATTTATTCATTCATTCATTCACTCACTCACTCATTCATTCATTCATCCACTGTCTCCACCCACCCACAGTCAGGAAGACAGGAAATCAATAAGAAGAACCAATGTCCGCGTCGAAACTTTTCGCCGCAACTGTAGCAATTATTACAAAGCGTTGGCAGCATTATTGACAATGAAAAACAACGACAACAAAAACTACTACTACTACTACTGCTACTATTACTATTGAAACAACAACAACAAAAAGGACTTATTTCACTATAACTGTTGAAACAACAAAGCAACAACAACTACTACAACCACATGTTGAACAATGTTCGCTATTAAACTCTTACAAAAATTCGACCAACAAAAAAAAAGAAGATTAACAGACACACATTAACCTACAATACAACAGCAACAACAACTGCAACTTCGACAACACTATCAACGACAACACAACCAACAACACATCCAACAACAGCACAACAACAACAACAACACCTCAACATTAACAACATCATTGACACTAAAAAACAACAACAACAACCACCACCTCATCATTTTCAACGTCAACAACATCAACAAAAACAACAACATCAACAAAAACATTGTTGTTTTCATCGACATTAACAACAATAACGACAAATATATTTTTAGCTTTAGGTCAACTTTAACGATCATACATATAAGAAAACGAATTAGTGGATAATAATATTTTTTTCTAACGAAAAACAACCGCTATCTTCTTGGCGACAAAATTGTTAAATTGATCGTTGTTGATCATCATCATCAGCAGAACCGACATCAACAACAATCATAACAACAATTACCATATTGTTGTTGTTGTTATTATTATTATTATTATTCATATCTTCATCTCTACTACAATATTTTGCATACAATGCTTGTAAACTCTGCTTATCATTGTTGCCATCACCTTCATTACCTTCACCATCAGCAACGACAACAACAACTTCAACAGCATCAACAACAACAACAGCATCAAAAACAACATCAAAAACAACATCAACAACAACATCAACAACATTCCAAAACACAACAACACAATTATCCTTTAAAGTTAGAAACCTACAACGATGATGATGGTGATGATGAAAAAGATGATGAATATGACGGGGGTGATGATGATGATGATGAACTATTTCATCAACAATTTCAATGCCTGCTACATCAGCAGCAACAACAACATCAGAAACAACAACCACGTCATCGTAAACAAAACTACCAACAACAACAACAATCGCAGCACAAAAACAAATACTTTCAACAATCACATTTGCAACAATTGTCCCTGAAAATGTTGGCAATAATATTTGCAACGTCCCTGGCCGCATCAAAAGTTTGTTGCCAGAAAAAATTCAACACGTACCAATAGTAAGCTATGAAAATGTTTATTTACTGTTGCTACTATTATGTTCCTCTTATTATAATTATTAATGCGGTTGTGGTTCCTTCTGCAGTTTTCATCGATGTTCTTGTTGATATTGTTGTTGCCATTGTTGCTATTATTGCTACTGTTGATGTTATTGTTGGTGTTATTGCTGTTGATGTTATTGCTGTTGATGTTATTGTTGGTGTTATTATTGATGTGCTTGTTATTATTATTTTGTTATTGCTGCTGTTATTGCTATTGTTTATTATTGTTGATGTTATTGTTATTAATATTAACATTTTGTTATTGCTGTTATTTTTTCATTGCTGGCATTGTTGCTATAGATACTTATTTAATGCTCATAATGTTTATTATTATTATTATTATTATTTTAAATATTTATTTAGTTTTATTTTGCTTTTAAATATAATTTCAACTGTTAACGCTGGTAAATGTCAACATTGTTTTAAAGAGTTTGTAAATGTAGGAAGACACTCCTGGAGGTGCACTAAAACAACGTTGAATAATAATGACAATTTTAATATACGCAGCTCACCAAAAAATATCTCTTAACATTTTTAATAGTTATAAAAATAGTTATAAATAGTTATAATAACGATAATAATTTAATTCCATGTTGCTGTAGCAAGATTTGCAAGGGTCGGAAGGGCTTAAAACTACACCAACGTTCTTGCAAAATGTTTAAAAAGCTTAAGAATGTACTAGAAACCCCAGAGAAATCTGGCAAAAACTTGGAACTGTCGCCACTACCACAATGCAAACAAGCATCTCTTGAAATGTTGGACAGCAACATCATGGAAACTCCTCTTATTGGAATAAAACTACCCAAAACCCTAAAACATTGGAGGGAAGCAAATACATACTTCCAACTCCACAGAACGTCCTTACCAAATGTATCCGACATCAACAATTTCACCACCTCATTCCAATCACTGATCTACAATTATTTTGCATCCAACTACGGCACGGTAAAGCCACAAAATTTATCGAAAACACAACACCCCAATAAAACAGTCAAAAACATGAAGAAGGACCTAAAACAGTTAAAATTACTTGGCCGCAACGACCACAGTTTCGACATGAAAATCAGCACATTAAGCAAACAAATAAGAACAAAACTGTTATCAATGAAAAATGCAAAAACTGAGAAACATGTCGACATAACAAAACAACTGAAAGTCAAATTCTGGTCAACATGCAAAAAATTGTTCAACCCATCAAACAGCTTAACCCCATCATTCAGCATCGACGACTGCAAGAAATATTTTTACAACATACTCCACGACCCATTTCACAACAAGTTTCGCCTTCCGAACTGGGTTCCAACATTGCAACAACCAACGTGGAGTGCTGCAGGATGATCCCAGTTCATTTCTTCTTTTTAACCTCTGTTTCCACCCTTTAATGAAGATGTTGGAAAGAAAAAAATATGAACAATGTGGATACCTATAGGGCCCTGCGGCTAATCCAAAATCCAGAGCATGGCTGCAATTCGCTGACGATACAGCTATTATAACAAACAGCTCTGATGGTGCTCAGACTCTAATCAATCTCAACCAATCTTGGTGCAAATGGTCTGGCATGAAAATAAGGGTCGACAAGTGTTGCACATTCGAGATGCGAAAGCGGGATGGCGCATATGAACAATTTCTGCCGAAGCTAACAATAGACGACGAAACAATACCTCAGATAGGCGTCGATGGCAGGTTTGAGTATCTAGGTAAATCTTATGATTTTGAATGCAAAAACGTCAAAGAAAAAGAGATACTCCAAAAGAAGCTAACGGATGTGCTGCAAGTAATCAGCGACTTGAATACAACAGCTCAATGGAAACTTCAAATCATACGTCGCTTCATTCCGTCTCAATTATCATTCCAATTACGATTATACGATATTTCGCTAACTTGGATAGGAAACAGCCTAGACCCGTTGATATGCAAAGCTGTAAGAGATTGGTTGTTTCTTCCAGTAAGTAGTTGTGTTGCTGAAGTTTTGTCGTTGCCTTACAAAAGTGGAGGGTTAAACATAAAATCGCTAAAACATCACACAGAGCTATTGAGATTAAAACTTCGGGGACACTTAAAAACAATCACCAGGGAAGAAATGAGAGTTCTGTGGCAGGAATCAAAAAACGAATACAAAAAAGTCGACAACAAAATCCAAAGCAACGATATTCAAATGGCGTGCAACGTACTGAAACAGCGTCAACACCAAAATGACTTCAACCATCTATCGTCGCTACAATGCCAAGGAACATTGATAAAGTCGATTAAGGAAAACATTCACGACTCAGAGATCACTCGTTGGGCTACCGTAACAAAATCCCTGCCAGAAGTTTTATACAAATTCACAAGAAAATATCTCATTCAACAACTACCAACTAACGCTAACCTAGTCAAATCGAAAAAAACGAACAACGCAGCATGCTCTCTTTGTAACGCCAAGGAAACAAATGTGGTTCGCCACCTGCACTCGCTAGGTACTTAAATCGCCACAATAAAATACTTGCCATCATCTTAAACAACATCAAATCATGCATCGAACCTGGAGCAATCATTTTTGCGGATATCGAAGAAGAATCGATCCGCCCTGTGTCGCAACTGTTTACCTCGCTCAGACCAGACATAGCAATCTTGTACAAAAAAACGATTGAAACACTGGAACTAACAGTCTGTCATGAAACCAATTACACAAAATCAAGAAACTACAAAGTGGATAAGTACAAGAACAACCTCAAGAATAACCTATCGAACGATTTTAAGCATTGCAATATTTTAATCAACACTTTTGTAATTTCGCCAATAGGAGTTAATAATTCTTTCAATTTTAGATCTAGCTTAATCAATTCTGCGATACTTACGCAATATATTGAGACTGAAATAAAGCTTGACTCTAGTTTTTATATTGTTTTATTATCTTTGTACACATTCATAATGACGAGCATTGATGTTAAATTATCCATTATTTTAATCTTTTCATTTTATATTTAATTGTAATTAATTTTTTATTTATATTTTGGTTTATGAAGAAATAAAAGAGTTCTCATTATTAATTTTATAATAATAATAATAATTATTATTATTATCTATATGACATTGTTGTTGTTGTTGATGTTTTTCTAGTTTGGTTGTTGTTGACGCGAGTCTACATCGTCTTGCCGCCTCAATTGATGGCTTATTTATTTATTGGGGTTTGTTGGGGTAATTGATTTACGTTTGTAGCACAACCATGAAACCACCCTGAGATGATATGTTAAATCGTGTGATAGATAGATGGAAGGATGGATAGATGGATGGATGGATGGATGGATGGATGGATGGATGGATGGATAGATGGATTGATGGATGGACACGATGCGTCTGAGATTCACAGGTGCAATCGTATTGGAGAAAGAAGAAAAAGAAATAATCAACTTAGTTGTTTTTTCATTTATTTATTCATTATTATATTGGTTTGTTCATTCGTTCATTATTCATTCATTCATCCATTCATTCATTCATTCATTTATTCATTCATATATTCATTCATTCATCTTTCCATTCATCTACTCGAACGTAAAAAATTTAAGTTCCGGAAACACGGTCATAAAATTCTCCAGATGAACAGGATAACGGGTTAATTAAAACTGAACCAAAAACTCTAAATACCTGGAAATATAATCTGATGCTTTGGCGCGCTAATTTTTGTGCGCGTTGTCATGGCAACATTAATAATGACGAAGACGGCGGATGCAGTGCACAAATGACTCCAACAAATTGTCGGGCCGACATTCCGGTGCTCTTGAACACGACCCAGTGCATGCAAATTTGTAAACTTGTTTCGTAGCAGTAGTGCTAATAGCATTACCTTTAACAAACTCATCAACACCAACATCAACATCAACAAACACATCAACAGACACATCAACATCAACAAAAACATCAACATCAACAAACACATCAACAACAAAAAACACATCAACAAAAACATCAGCATCAACAAAAACATCAGTATCAACAAAAACATCAGCATCAACAAACACATCAACAAACACATCAACATCAACAAACACATCAACAAACACATCAACATCATCATCAATAAACATACCAACATCAATATCATCATCAGTATCATCATCAACGAACACATCAACATCAACATCATCATCAACAAACACAAGGCGAAAATTTTCCATAAGGGAGGCAGAAGGAATGAAAGATGGGTGGATGAACTGATGGAACCGCACACGAATAAAGGAAACTGCTATCTTTGATATTTAAAAGCTCTGCAAGAAATTCAATGGCATTGCTGTGATGTATGAATATACACATGATCATAGGCACTTGCCCGCTTGCATGCACATGTAAACTTGTACACATACATACATACACACATACGTACATACATACAAACATACATATATAAAAAATTTCATACATACATACATACATGCATACATACATGCATACATACACACATACACACACATATACATACATACATACATACAATACATACATACATTTTTTTATTCCTGTAAGACAACCGCTATTAGACGCAGAAATAGTAATAACATGCAAGGTATGAAACGCTGGTAATAAAATATGAAATTAGAACGGATAGAAATAAATTACAAATAAAATATCGGGGAGGACACGTGGAAAAAATGGAACAGTTAAAAGAATGGTAATACAAATGGCAAAACAGTGAAGTATGAAAGTATGGAAAGTAAAGGAAGTATAAAATGGAAGTATGGAACAAATATATGAAGTCATCTGCGCATCATCCTTGGATCGGCCACATGATGCTGTGGATGAAATTTTTTGCAAGGATGTTTCTGACCGACAACAGTTTGTTTTATCTTTGCTGCTTTTAGAATGCAAATCTACTGAAGCGTGATGATGCGAACTGTGATTTAGTGGTTAATATTCGTCAATAATGTTATAAATAATGTGATGGTTTCGAAAAATTGAATCAACTGCTGCTTTCTCAATGTTGATCTTGCCTGGCCCAAAGATATTCTTCGCAGAGATGCCTGTATACAGTTGTTTACACGATACTCAGCAAATGATTATGCTTTATTGGCAGGCACGTGCCATGAACAGATGGCGGGATGTTCTTGTAGATTTCTTTTAAGTCTTCCTCCATGGCCGAATAAACTTGCGAGAAAATGCAGAGAGAAGCTGTAGAAATATAAGAAGGTAATATAGCAAGCATGTTGTATAAGAGAAATGATGTCAGGAACTGATGTAAAGAAGCTATATGAAGTGATATAGGAAGATGATTTGAAAGATGATACCAAAAATGATAAGGTACAAGAAGATGATGTAAGAGGTGATGTGAGAAAATGATGTAAGGAGGTTGGGTAGGGAGGTTGGGTAGGGAGGTTGTGTGGGGAGGTTGTGTAGGGGGGTGGTGTAAGGAGGTGATGTATAACTAATGTTATCATGATTGACATCATGAAATGAGGTCATGCACCGGTTACTTGCTTCTAACACCGTGTTTTAACGGCATTGATTCTTTAAAATGGGGTTTTGTATAAAGCGTTGTGATTGGTTTAATTAATACAAAATTACACCTATAACCATTTTTATGGAAAAGTTTGTTTCAAGAATTATTTGATAAATGTGTAAAAATCAGATCAGTTTTTTTACTATTCGGCAAATTGTCGATTTAATTAAAAGTTAAAAGTCGTAGATTGCTTTTAAATCGCGGTTGATGGCCGTTGAATAAATTGATGACTGAATGGCAGGTGGAATGAGATGCAGATGGCTGGAAATTTATTTTCAATCGGATGGAGCGGCCATTTCTTGCTGTTTCAATATTAACACCTCGGCGGAATGGCAACACATTTCCATTGCGTGACTCGCCTGGTTGGTGCATCCGATCCGATTTGACGTTGGTGTCGAAAAGTTGGATTAAATATTCTGCAGCAGATGTAAATTCATGTCAAATAGGTTGACAGAAATAAGATATTTTCAATATATCAAAACAAAATTTAACATTTTTTTAAAGATTAAAAACACTCACTTCAAACTAAGATGTTTTCAAAAAGGTGTTTTTCTTATGCTATTTGTTTTAACGTTGAAAAAATATTTAATCGATATGAGGAAAGAACGATTTGATGGGAGAAAATTATTGATTAACAAAAACTTGAAATCGTTAAAAAATAACTTTCAATGCTTTTTCGTCGGTTATTTTTTTCCTCATTAAATATCGCTCAACTGGATTTTATATGATCAGCAAAACTGAATTCCAAACATTCAAATTAGATTTAATCAACACTAATGACAATTTTAAAACGAACTCAAATTTCAAGGAAATAACATTGCAAACAAAACAAACATAAATACACTGTTTCAAACATCACCACAGAAATAACAAACACATACATGAACACACCTACATGTTCTCTCTCATGTTTGTTGCCTGCACGGGATGAACAAATGCACAGCAGAGGCTGAAATGATTTTTATTTATAAAATTATTTTTCAATTTTTACTTTTGGTTGCCATCTTGAGCAGTTTGATCTGTTCGTTCGTCCGTCCCATGTCAAAAATGGAGCACCAGCTAATTTTTTTCTTTGAAATTAATTTTTTTTGTCTATTTTTAAAAATCATTTCAACATAAATGAGTAGTAGCGGGAAGGCACATTCAGTGAAATACGTAAAATTACAAAGATCTCTCACTCCAAAACCACTAGGCTAGATTCATTAGTATGGTAGTGTAGTGTAGATGATATTTTGACCGGTGGTCGCTTTGTATGGGTGGGACTAACTTCTGGAAGCCATTTTGTAAAATGGCGGATCTAATTTGTCATTTAATTAAATTTTGAAAACCGCGCAACTTAATATATTCAGTTTGATGATGAATTAAATGTTTTTGAGGTAAAAGAATTAAAAAATGTTGTAAATATTTAAACTCCATATTCCATCTTTCAAAACTTTGACATTAATTTCAAACATTTCACTTTTCGAGCCGGACCACTATTTTTTATATATAATAATAATAATAATAATAATAATACATGTAAATCATGCTGTAAAACATGTAAATAAAAAATGCAAAATACTTGGAGGTCTTATTGGAATAACAAGAACAGCACGAGAGGAATGGCGATTTATATACGTTAGCCGTTGTAAACATTTTGATGCTTGGTCTAGCTGATCTTAAAGATTTGGAGGAACCACATATTGAAAGAGAGAAGCAAAGGACTGTGCGTGAAGAACTTGATGTAATGGTTGGTTCTCAGTGATCTGTTTCAATTCTTCAATGTTTTCTGACACTCGTTATTTACTCAAAATTTTAGCTAAAGAAATGGCTTCAGAGGACATCCAAAAGACTTACAGCATTTGATAGATAATATATTGCAACAAAAACTTTTGTTAAGGATCGAATGCAGCTACATTCTAATGCCCCAACATTTCATTCAATTCCAAGACACAACTCGAGAACATTTAAGCATTTACGAAAAGTTGTTCCTGTCAAAGAATTTAAACGCAAATATACTGTGTCTGATGCTTTATTATTACGAAGACTCATTGTTGCTGCTGATAGCGGCCGAGATGTTGATTTGAAGCAGTTACTTCGACATGAACTGCACGAAGCTGCACTGTCATTAGCAATGTTTGACGGATATCTTCGGCTTCCAATAACTAAAGGTCAAAATATCATCTACATATCATAGTTGTTGCTGGTTGGGGAAATTTTTCTGACCGCCAGCCTCCCTCCCGTAGTTGACTACTTTGCTCAGAACGCCTTCATTTCATTATATACATACTTCATACCATGAAAATATAAGAATTGAACTATAGTAATTAATTTTGAACTTCATCTGAGAATCGTTAGAGGTTAAGGATCTATTACACTTCACAAAAGTTCCGAGGAATCGACAACACACGAACAGCATGCATTATAAAGTGCTTGACGACACGAAGCATGTGATAGGCGAGGATCTTTTTTTGTCATATTCGAACCCGGTCATTGACGCTCAGCGAAACAGCACCAGGCGACCTTAAGCACTAACTAGGCCATTCCGCCGCTCGCCTGTTTTCGTTGTTTTACTCTATTTTTAGCAGTTAGGGTTTTCCAACGGTCATTATTAATAACTGAAATGGCAGGCAGACAAGTGGAGGTTACTCGTCCCAACCGTCGGTCACTCACAGTCTTTATAATGCGTTCAAGTAGCGTTCATGAAACAGCTCCAATCAATCAACAGGCGACGCTTTTGCTCTTGCCGAGGTGCACAATGGAAAATTTTGCGATAAGTTGGGGGGTCGGGTGATTTCAGTTCCAAAATTCCATGACTGTTTAAATGAGAATTTAGAAAAACATCTTGTCATTGCGAAATAAATAAATTCCTTTATTTTCCAAAAAATAATTTTGGGAGTATTAAAAAACTTATAAAAATTTTGCTCGATAGAAAACAAGCGCGTTTGAAACATCCGGCGCTGGCCGACCCACCGACTGATTGCAAATTATCGCTGGGTGGATATTTTTACAAATGTAGTTTTGATTGAAGTGATCAGCTGAGAGAGAAAGAAATGAGTGTTGGTTGGAGAATATTTTATGATTAACACGTCCAACGTTGATTGCACTGTACTGGCCCCGTGCTTCAACACTGCGTCCATTTATTCATGCGTTGTGTTCATGTGCAGTGTTCGTACATATGTTGTGTTCACATGTTGTGTTCTCATGTTTTGTTCACATGTTGTGTTCACATGTTGTGTTCTCATGTTTTGTTCACATGTTGTGTTCACATGTTGTGTTCACATGTTGTGTTCACATGTTGTGTTCTCATGTTTTGTTCACATGTTGTGTTCACATGTTGTGTTCACATGTTGTGTTCTCATGTTTTGTTCACATGTTGTGTTCACATGTTGTGTTCTCATGTTGTGTTCATATGTTGTTTTCATATGCTGTGTTCACATGTTGTGTTCACATGTTGTGTTCATATGATTTATATATATGTATAATATATATATTTAATATATATATATATATATGTATATATATATATATAATCAAATAATATATATATATAATATATACCTATATTATATATATATATATATACACATACACATACATAAATTGAATATAATTAATGTTGTAATTTAATTTTTTACAATTAATGTTGTTGAATTCTTCAGCGACAAGATCATCCACGAGTACGTGGAGACGGAGATGAGGTGGGTGGTTGGATGCTTCAACGTTTCAACATCCATGCATGCATCCCAATTCATTTATTCAACAATCAATCAATCGTTCAGTCATTCATTCACTCACTCAATTAATCAGTAATTTTTTCAATCATGTGACGCTTATGAATGATTTGAGTTTTTGAGTTCAACTCAATCATGGACTGAAGAAAGAAAGAATGAAGTGAGGAGGTAATGATGAGGAAGAGGTGAGTGGAGGACGGAGGTTTGAATTATAAATGCTATCCAGTGCTCTAAAGTTAGGGGAAGAGAAGTCGCAAAGAATTTTTCAGCTTTTAATGCTAAAAAGTCGGCAAAATTCTTTAAAAAAAATTATAAAAGTGAACTAACTCAGCACATGTTGAGTTTGAAGATGCTTCAGTCAGTTGAATGGTCTCTTGCAAAAGTTGCGTGGGAAGTTTGTGGGTGTGTAGAAACCAAAATATAATGGGTTTCTTGATGTTTTCCTTGCTATCAGCATTATCATAATCACCATCAATGTCATCATCATCATCACCAACATCATCATCATCACCAACATCATCATCATCATCACCAACATCATCATCATCAACAACAACATCATCATCATCACCAACATCATCATCATCACCAACATCATCATCATCTACAACAACATCATCATCATCACCAACATCATCATCATCAACAACAACATCATCATCATCAACATCATCATCATCATCAACAACATCATCATTACCAGCCCAACTAACATCGCCAAGAAGATCACAGTTGACTACAACCGCTTGGAGGCTCCTTACAGAGGTACTGTGGTGATGGTGGTGGTGATGATGATTAAAGTACTGATTTTGATGTTGACAATGATGATAATGATGACGACAACATTTATGATGATGATGACGATGATGATGATGATGACGATGATGGTAATGATGATGATCATGATGATGATGATGGTTGCAGAACTCATTGAGATAAAACCTGCTGGAGCAATTTAACGTGTGATGTGATTCTTGTAATGGCGGGGCGTTCATCAGGCTTCATACATTATTCATTCGTTCGTTTGTTCGTTCATTTCTTCCTTTCTTCATTTATTCCTTCATTCATTCATTTCTTCCTTCATTCATTCATTCGTTCGTTCGTTCGTTCGTTCGTTCGTTTGTTCGTTTGTTCGTTCGTTATTTCGTTCGTTCGTTCCTTCATTCATTCATTCATTCATTCATTTATTCATTCATTCATTCATTCATCCATCCATCCATTCATTCATCCATCCATCTATCTATCCATTCATTCATTCGTTCGATCGTTGAGATCTTGTGCAGTATGATGAAACTTTCAAACACGTTGACATGCTAATTTTAGTCTTGTTGTTGTTGATGATAATGATGACAACGACGATGATGATGATGACGAGGACGATGATGATGATGATGATGATGATGACGACGACGATGATGATGATGCTGGTTGGCGATGGAAGGAAAAGTGATGAATGTGCGAGTTGAAATGGAAGAATGACTGGAGTCATGACGTCACTCACTCAACTGTCTGAGGTTAAAGTGAATCATCATCATCACATGACCAAATAACATGCAATATGATGATGGTGGTGATGATAATGATGAGATGTGATGTGATTCATTACTTACAGCATCTTCGTCATGTCTTTGTAATCATCACATATATCCATCATGTCGTTATCATCATCGTCTATTATCATCGTCTATTATAGTATTATTATACTATTGTCATCATTTTCTTCTTCATCTTCATTCTTAATACTAATGCCATTGTCAACATCATCTTCATTATCATCATCAACATCGTCACAATCATCATCATCATCATCACCACCACCACAGTCATCATCATTATCACCACAGTCATCATCATCATCATCATCACCACCACAGTCATCATCATTATCACCACAGTCATCATCATCATCATCATCACCACAATCATCATCATCATCACCATCACCACCACACTACAGACAGAGCCACAGAGGTGTCGCTGGGTATACATATCATCAGCATCTTCTCCATCAGCGAGCAGACCATGGTAGGCCCCCTCACTCTCATTTCACTCTCCCATCCATAATAATTTATTCCATAACTTATTTCATTGTGGAATAATATTAATTGTGAAATCGAATAATTATATATATATATATATATATATATATATATATTTATAATTAACGTATATAATAACATATATGATATAATATATATAATAACGAATATATATACATAAAAGTGATTAAATTGTTGATTGTTGTCGTCGTCCCTACAGGTGTGTGTGAGTATGTGTATGTGTGCATGTGTGTATGTGGTGTGTGTATGTGTGTGTGTGTTTTCTTTTATGAATTGAATCGCATCTCCGAACACCACACACCTCATGACACACGCGTATCGCATCTTATGACACCACACATCAACTAGATATATATATACAATACATATAATAATATACACAACTAATAATAATAATGTTGATGATAATAGTAATGATATTATTATTATTATCACAATATTTAAAAAATAAATTTAATAATGCAATTTAAAACACACAACCGTTTGATTCGCTTTGGAAGAAGGTTTGAGAAGAGCACGAGGTGTGTAGTCTATGGTGTGGTGCTGGTCTGTTGAGGTGTGTGGCGTCATGAGGTTAAAAGTCATTTTCATTTGTGCACTTACTTCAGAGGTATCAACAACTACCGCAGGAAAAACTCGCATCAAAAGCATTGCGTTTGATAGGCGGGGAACTCTTTGAATTCGAATCCAGTCACTGTAACAGCAGGGCTAGGCGCCATTAACCATTACGCAATCACGCTGCCTGCCCATCACGAGACGTGTGGAGTCATGAGTGGTGGTGGCATAAAATGTGTAGTGTCTGTATCTGTATTTTGATTTGTGTAGCGCCTCTCTCGAAAATTCTTCAGAAGCACCTTCTAGGGTGTGTGTACATTTTCAGCAGTTTTTTAAATGGAGTTCATTTAGTGCTAGAGCTATTCATTAAGGGCGCAGGGCGTGAGCTCTCAACTTCAGCGGCCACCGCTGCAAATCTCAGCCTTTCAGAGTAAGAAGATCAAAACGCCGGACTGACCAAATTTCCTGAACCCTTGACACCGATGCCAGCTGGTCACTTAGATAATCTGTCTCTGACCAACAACACAATTTTAAACTTCATCTTAGCCGGCGTCAATGGGGCGATCATGATAATGATTCCATCGTCGACTGCCTCAAACATCCGAGAGCATCTTCAGCAATTTTGGCAACAACGCGTCGTTGTGCTTTTGAAAATATTTCAAACTTGCTTGGCGATTATCTTTTTTTATTTTAGAATTAAAACTTAGATTTGATACTGGCCGATATCTGCTAACTAAATCTGACGGTAGATTTGTTTTTTAAACAGTGAATTGTTATTGATTGTTATTTTTTGAGAGCTCGGAAGTTTTGATGAAGTGATGAAGTGAAGTGCAGTAAAAATTTGAGCTGATTCTCCAGTAGTTTTCTCAGTATGAATGTTGGCACTGGATCAAGGAAGCATGATTTTAAGAGCGAAGATCCTATAGTCAATTTAAATTCCTTACCTGAGGTCACATAAAAATGATCAAAAGGGTTCGTTGAACCGAGGTCACATTCAACATCGTTGACGACTTTGAAGAGACGCACTGCAGTTAATCATGCGCCAGATGGAAGCAGTCAACAACGCACTTAACTTTTTCCTAAACATTAATGATGAAACTAAATTCTGTAGTTTTTTAGAGTGTTTCGATTCGGAGATGACAGGACTCCAGTCTCCAATAACTTTGTTCTTTCACGAAATGCTGCTTCTGCTACTTCAATGTCTCCAGCCTCCAACGAACTAAATCATAATTCGACCTTGGTCGCTGAGACATCCGCTCACACTGCTTTTAATTTTGCGACAACCATCGATTTCATACGAATTTGTACCTCACGTTGTGCTACAAATCTATTTAAAAGATCATTAAAAGTTTGCTTGTATGTTCAATAGTCCGTCTACTTTGCAACCACTGAATTGTGTGTTTAAGTTTGTGGTGTGTTGAGGTGTGGGGCGTGTTGATGTGTGGGGCGTGTTGAGGTGTGTGGTGTGTTGAGGTGGAGAGTGGGTTGAGGTGTGGGTTGTGTGACAGTGTTGTATCATGTGGTGATATAAGGTGTACGAACATAGTGCGATGAGTTTTAAATATTTTTATATCGCCATTTTTGACAGTTGTGAAAGCATTATTAAACAATGCAATAAATCTAACATAATAAATTAAAAAAGTTGAAATTAAAAAAATTAAAATTAAAAAAAAATTAAATCAAAAATTGTTTTTTGAAAGAGGTGTAATTAGCATCTCAGGAACGTGTCCAGCACATTAACATGGTGTGTTGTTGCTAATTAACCAAACATGCAACCAACGAGAAACCGGCCGAATGATTTTAATTAAATTAGATTAATTTTATTTAATTTAACTGACGCAACAAAGCACATGTGCTAATTTTATTTTCTCTCTTCTATTGATCGTCAAATCAAATAGTTTAGAATTATTAAGAAGAGAATATTCGAACATAAGCTACAAGAATTTTATCTAAAACCTAATTTTCTGTTTAATAAAAAAAATTTAAACAATTTTTTAATGAAGAGATTGCAAAATTTTCGTTTATTTGATTTTTTCAATTAGTTTATTTTAAAATATATTAGTTTAAACAAGGCCGAATAAGTTAAATACATTCAGAGAGTAAAATTGTATGATTCCTGATGCATTCTACGATTTGCTGGATGATGATGATCGCCAGCAAGTTCTGCTGCAAAATGATTCTCAACAATGCGCAATACTTTTGATCAAAAAGGTTGCTGGCGTACTGTGTGGCGGAGCACGGGCGGGCATTTCTTCTTCTTATCCAATCACTCACCAGTGGTTAATTTCTCGTCCAATTTCGATGACCTCTCAACATTTACTGATCCATCCCAATCGCTCGAACTTAAACACGCGCTGATTATATTTATGTGAGCAAATAAAGTGCGGAGGTGTCTCACAATGTGTTTTCAAGATTCCCATTACTTGCTTTATATTTAATTGGCTGTTTCTTATTGAGCAAATTTACGTTACAATTTTTGCAAGTTGAAATAATTTTTGGAAATTTTTGTCTTTTTGTTTAAATTTCTTTTCGTTAATAATTTGAAATGAAACTTTGAATGTTGCAGGATTATTCCATCAGCATGTACTTCCGACAGGCCTGGAGAGATCCGCGTCTCTCATTCCCTCCTTACAGAGCTCCTGGCACCTCAGGAGATCCCAAGAAGCAAATAAGAATGCAGGTTGCTTTCACAAACACGGTCATGTGATCAGCAAACATTCAACACATACAACAGTCAACTTTCTAGGCAACAACAACAACAAAATCAGATCACTGAGCATGATATGAAAATTTGAAATTTTTACTCAACCATTCTAACCACATCATGACATGTCGCGTTGAGTTGTTATTTTCATGTTTTGTTATTCACCTTATTCATATTTGTTTATGAACACGCATCGCCAAGGCAAGGATGGCGTGATGGCCTTGTGGTTAAGGTCGCCTGGAGCTGTTTCGCAGTAACCGGGTTCAAATATGACAAAAAGATCCCTTCCTGTCACATGCTTTATGTAATGCATCGTTTAGCATGTATTCATATACGATGTTTGTGACATATTGTTGAATCTTCTGAATTTTGGAAGAGTGTAATTGACCTTTAACCTTTTTTAATCTTTTAACCATTAAGGATGAATCATGGAACATCATCTGGGTGCCTGACACCTACTTCAGGAACGAGAAAAGAGCGGCCAAGTTTCATGACGTCACCGTCGCCAACCGGATGTTGACAGTAAATTGTACTGGTCACGTGTGGTACGTTACTAGGTTGGTGTTCCTTCTATTTCTTTCTTCTTGCAATGATTAGTATTTTCTGGTCAACGTGTGGTTGCATCGATAGATGATGCTCTCATTGCGCAAATGCGATCTAATTAGATATTTTCTTAGTTACATTCACCAGCATCAACGTCAACTCCATTGTGACATCTTCATTTCATTGATTGGAAGCATGAAGACGAATGATGATTCGATTATAACCACCAGAATAACAGTGACCTTATCTTGTCCGATGACCTTGCACAAGTACCCGCTGGATACGCAGAACTGTCCTATGCAGTTTGAAAGCTGTTAGTGGATGCCATTGTTGATGTTGTTGTTGGTGAGGATGATGCCTTTGTTGTTGTTGGTGATGATGATGATGTTGTTGTTGGTGATAATGATGTTGTTGTTGGTGATGATGTTGTTAGTGATAATTATGTTGTTGTTGAAGATGTTGGAAAAGTTTTTACTAATAATGACATAGTGAAACAACAAGCTAAAATACAAATATACACAAGGATGTGTTAATGCTTTTACTGATTATTTATAATTAATTTGACAATTACAAATATTAAAAATGAAATTTTTCCTAAATTTGTTAGGATGCCTGTATAAGATATAAGCAAATGTACATGAAACATTAAAGGGGTTTTAAAGATGAAACGCATCATAGCAATTTGTTTAAATAATAAAGGCTCTCAAGTGGAGAACAAAAAATATAATAGGCCTAACCTGTGAAACCTGTGAAGCAGTTGAGCTCAGCAAAATCAACAACCAACGCAATAAAAAAACTCAATAAATTTGTTGAGAATATATAATTAATTCACGACCAAAAAGTCCGTCATTCAGTAATCATCATTATCAAGATTACCATCATCATCATCATCATCACCATAACAGTCTTCATCATATTTTTTTCATAATGATATTCTACACCACATAGTTGGGCACGAAACGAAGACAATGTATTATAACTGGCTGCCTCAACCGATCGACTTCTACGAGGGGGTGAGGGTGCCTCAGTTCAATCTGGTCAAGACCATCATGGTCGATTGTTCGGCTAACTATACAGCCGGTGAACTTTGATTTTTCATTATTTCAATTTTTTTATTTTTTTTAAAATAATTTTCAATAATATAATATTTTTTTTGTCTACTAAGCAGTACAAGTACAAAATTTGCAAAAGTCCAAATCATAAAAAGTTTTCAGTTCAAAATGACACCGCCACTTTTGAGTTCATAACAATCAACAACCCTTCATTAGCTTTTATCATTATCACCCCTCTGAAGGAATTTTCCCATGCGCAGAAATTCGTTTTGTGATCCAGCGAGATATCAGGTACTTTCTCATCCAGGTTTTTGTTCCCAGCAGTCTCATCGTCATTATGAGCTGGGTCAGCTTCTGGATCAACATTGATGGCGCGCCAGCGCGTGTGTCCTTGGGAATAACAACTGCCCTCACTACTACAACCCAGGTGTGATTTAACTGAAAATGAAATATATTTGTGTTGTCTTTTCATGTAAACAAGCTCAAAGAGTTGCATAAACTGCGACCATACATTATAATACTGCTGAATTTAAATTCACTAACAAATCAAAAACTTCATTATGCATAGAGTGTCTGATGGTTGGAACATAACAAATCCCTCACAAAGACAATTAAAGAAGCAGAAAAATGTTTTAAAATCATGCCTTATACATAAATTGCAATTTTTGGCTATTGGGTTTTAAAAAGGGCCAAAGCCTAATGTCTAATTTTGACCAAATGTTTGGCGCACCACTAATCAAATTCATGCTATCAAAATTCTTTGATTTGTTGATTAAGTGCATAGTTACGTTTTGCTTAACACATTATTTGTATTGCTTTTCATCGATCAGAGTGTCAGCATAAACGAACTACTACCCCGCGTGTCTTACATAAAAGCCATCGATGTCTGGATGATTGTTTGCTTAATATTTGTCTTCTGCTCTTTGGTTGAGTATGCCTTTGTAAATGTGGCTGCCAGGACAGGGGTTCGAATCCGCACAGTTGACGTGGGCAGGGTGCCTCTCGTTTCCTACGACTCCACCATAGATGTTTGTTCTACTTTTCTTATTATTTGAACATCATCTTTCATGTCTAGTATTTTTAATTATGATGTCTATAAAGAGAAAATGTATAAATTTTTTATTCTATGACTTCAAATATATTAAAAATTACGACATTTTATAAACATTTTCTGTATTATTATTATTATTACTGTGATGACTGTTTTCAGTTTCATTTTTCAGTTTCACTGAGGCGGTATAATTTTTTACAACACACGGAAATCGGTAGTTTGTCTGTAGTCGTACATACAAATTAAAAATAACCAGGGATGCGTGCAAAAGGCTAAAGGTCTACAACACACCTCCTAGGTTCAGAGGAACCAGCAACACACGGACAGTGTATATGAAAACGTTTTAAACCGCACACGATGCACGCGATGAACGGGGATGTTTTAATCATGTTGAACCAATCACTACAGGCACTGCGAAACAGCACCAGGCGACCTTGACCAATAGACTATCCCGCCGCCCGACCACAAATAAATTATTATCAGCATTGTGATGTATTACTGCTACTAATGGCTAAAGACGCCTGGTCCTGCTGTTGTAGTGATTGGGTTCGAATGCAAAAGATCCTCGCCTATCATATGCAACATGTGTGATGCGTGGTTTCTACGCGTATTCATATACTTTGTATGTTTGTCGTTGAAACTTCTGAAGCAGGTGCACAAGAGAAATCGATCCTTAACCTTTTTAACCTTTACCTATATCAATGTTAAATTGGTCTTATACTGTTGTAACACTTCAACCAAACCAACACCAATGTTATAACTTCAAAAGATCTCTATATTTCCAACACCAGTGTTGTAGCTTCCCAAAATCCTCAAGTTATCGTTATTCCGTAGGTTTAAGATTTCCGATAAATGAACGCAACTTATTCAAAAGCTAACTTTGTTGAACGGTTTTTTTTGAATGCCAACAGTAATAGAAACACTAAACTAATCCAAGTGACAACATGAATCACATTTACGACCCCTTTTCAAACCTCACTGAAAACCTCTCTTATATAGCCTCTAGAGCTCCATAGTAGATTTTTACAATCAAAAGATTACAAATATAGCAGAAATAACAAAGATAACGAATAATCAAGATAACAAACAATATAACACAATTTGACCATTGCAGTGGTTGTAACATTATTAAGGTTACATCAATATTATATTAATGTGTTATTAATGTTATATTAATGTAATACTGTTATTTCAGTTGAACACAGAATCTGCATCTCAGTCCGTATTCATAAACTGTTGGCTGGTTGGTCACCTCCACTTCATTCTACCTTGAAATAATGACAAAACTAAGTTTTTCATTTTGGTACATGTAGATAAAAATTATCGACTTTAATTCATTATCTACTTTTTTATCAAATTTTATTTTTTAAATGAAAATAAAACAATTTCAGTACGTAAAGGAAAGAATGACGACGAGAAGCTACCCCAGTGTTGTCGATGTTGAGGCAAGCCGCTTGAAGGCCAGGAAGATTGATAAGCTTGCCCGAAAAATATTTCCAGTGTCATTCTTAATTTTTAATATTGTTTATTGGCTGGGCTATTCCATACCGACTGAGAAGTTTCAGATGGACCTATGAACGAATCCCTTCCCGAACATGCTCTTATGCTGTAAAGAACATTTTATTTTTTTTTCTTAAATTTCAGACTGGTTCAAAGTTTTTTCTTAATAAAAATTTATTTTTTTCCTTGGAACAAATAGCAACATTTGTTTGTATCTTTACAGTTTTTCACACTAATCTATATTACTTAATATTTCATTTATTTTAAAATTAGAAATTTTAAGTGTTGACATTTCATGAGCTTAATCGTTGTCTGAATAAATAATATATAAATTATATATATATGTGTGTGTGTGTACATATATATAATTGTATTTATGTTATATATATATATTATATTACTATATATATATACATATATATATATATATATATATATATATATATATATATATAACAAAATACATACTGGTAGAAGGCCAATTCTTGATAATATGTAGTAAATTATCCCGATTTATTAGTGTTTATCAACTTATATTTGAATTTATCTGAAATTATTTCAGATAGATCTATTTCGACGTTAAACCGTCATCGTCAGTGCATTATTTATTGATTTATTAATTAGTAATATTATAGTTTTAATATTATTAACAATATATACAAATGAGCTCAAAAAAGAAACATGAAATTTTAATGAAAAATTCTAAAGACTTAATTTTGTCGATAAAAATTTACTATGACAAATTGAAAAATTTGTATATAAGTTGATAAACACTAATAAACCGGTTGGAATTTATTATATATATATATATATATATATATATATATATGTGTGTGTGTGTGTGTGTGTGTGTGTGTGTCATAAATTCCAGGCCTTTGTTAGAAAAATTCCCGATATAAACTGCAATCAGTACTGGGCTATACAAATTATCTTTCTATATAAACCGCTGCAACCAGTTCTGATGATGATTGAAAAATTGAAATAGGTCCTATACACTGGAGAATGTATTGGAAAACTGTATATTATTCTAACTTTAATAAAATAAATAATGACGAAAAGAATCTGGTTAGAAATAATAAGAAATGTTATAAAAAACTATCCTATAACATCGGTAGATTTTATAAATTACTGCATTAATTATGGTCTTTTACCAGCATGCATATATATATATATATATATATATATATATATATATATATATATATATATATATATGCATGCCAGTCCTGTACAAATGTTATCAACAAATGACCAACCTGATGCCACCCAGTTAATTTTGGAAAAGAAATAATTACGCGATTATTAAAAGTATGTGCTGATTGCTATAATTGGTTTTTATTGGTTCGCATTATTTACAAAATCTTTGTTGTGACGTCATTGAAATTTAAAATTTTGAAACACGTTGTTAATGTTTATTTTAATATGTCAGTTCTCAACCAGTCAATCAGCAAACTGCTATTTACGTGAGTTGATGAATTTGTTAGACCATTCACAGAAATTGAAAGACAAACAAATCATTCAAATTTAAAATTACATAAGATAGATAAGCCACATAATACTACAATAACAATTACGACATATACGACATATACAAGAAATAAACTATCCAATAAACCCAAATGATCCCAAAATAACTATCATTATATGATCCATTGAGTATATATTGCACATAAAATAATTTATTTCAAATGAAAATGGTTTTTAAATGACAGCATTTACAAATGGAGATAAGCTTTGAAGTTGAAGTCTGAGAATCATACGAATAAACGTGAATAAAATGATACTGGAGTCTGGAGAAAATTTAGATAAATTGGCCCATAGATACCTCACTATAGAGTCAACGAAAATACACAAACGTAGTCATCTTAAGTCATCAGACCACGGGAGTTTTGTCGTTCCGTCAGTCCGTTCCTCAAATTTTGAAAGAAAATTTTGCGGTGGAGGCTGAAATATTTATTTATTTCGAAACACAGACCCAAAGCCCACTATGGGTTTGTATGGTCCAAAAAAATCACAAAAATAAAACGATTCCAAAAGATAGTCAAATAAGTTCTTCATCACATGACACCTTAAATATATTAGCCCTCAATAAAACTTTACCCTTAATTCAATCTAGTTTTCTATTTTTCATATTGATCATCTAACTAACTCATTAAGTCATCATCTTGTTCATTAATAAACAACTTTATTTATTTCAATCGATCGATCCGATCGATCGATCAATCAACAATCAATTAGTTTATAAAGCACTATTTCCGCGATGTTCAACAGCGCTCCTCAATGACTATTGCAAATATGAATATGCTTAGGAAATAACATCTTTAATTTTTATATAACACCTGTATTTTTGGTCATTTTTTGATAATATATAAGAAAGATATCATTCTTCCATTTTAAATTACTCGCTATAATAATACTTAAAAATTTTATACTTCACATCTTCTTTATAGTATACTACAACTATGAAAAATTATTGACCAAAATTTCGAATTAGTTAAGATTTTAAGATTGGGTATATTAATTTTTAAAAAGTTGCTTGACATCCATCTAGACAAATGTAGAAGTTTAGTATTCACGAGAGTTTCGACTTTTTGCACCGAGCTGCCACTTGCTATTATCGTAGTATCAGATAACAAATTTTAGAGAGGAGCTAAATCATCAATGAAAATGTTGAATAGTGAACCGAGTGTGGACTTGATACTGACATACTGATATTTTGGATTGAAACTGCCAGATATACATTTTATTCAAGAAAATCACAGCATTTTCAGCATTGCTTATTTTTCGCTCCAACTTCTCAATTCTTTTAACTGTGGTCCTTAAGTTGTAGTCAAGTTTGCTAAGTTCGTGTACAAAATTTTTATTTTACGCATTGTTTAAGGAGTGAACCATTAAATAGAAAAGCTTTAATTATACTAAGGAAGAAAAAACACAAATACAGCAGACATATATGGTAAACACATAACTAATCTTTGAAAAATACGCACACTAAGAATGGCAACTTCGGTGTCACTTATATTCATCTTTCGGGTCCAGCTAAACACCCACTCATTCAACGAACGACTGAGCCCGTAACACGCAAAATAGGATTACAATACGCCGCTTATTTTACGCGTTACAATATCTGTAACTCAATACAAGCACCAACCTGAATTTGACTGGCGCATATTGGTATTTAAACTAGATTGATTTTGCAGAATTGTGATGTGAACTATATAAATATGAAACTATTGATAAAACAAATTTTTTGAGGCTGAATTTTTTAATTTTAACTGTTCAACCATGTAGATGTAAGCAGACAACTAAACGAGCGGACGACATTTTCCGACTGACGTCAGAGAAGCTGAACCTCACAACATAAGATTTATCCCGATGAACGTTGTTAATAATATTTTTGAATAATAAAATTTTCGATCATCCTGAAGCTGAATTGAAATATTTCTCATTTTGGTATAATTAAAACATTTTAATAGACTTGCAATAGACTTTGTTAACATGTTTTAGAATGTAATTTGATAGTGAAACAAAATCTACAGCTAGGAACGACAAAAAGGTATTCTTCAGTTTAAATCAAATCATACGTAATATCGTTGTTGCTAATATTATTAAAAAATTATATCACTCCATATATATATAAAAAAAGTGATGATGAAATACAACAGAACAACAGAAAAATAGTTATATATATATATATATATACATACAGTATTGTATGAATTCTACCGAATTGGTATTCTGTAGAATTCATATAGTACTGTATAAAATATGGTCTCCTTTCAACATATCATATATATATATATATATATATATATATATATACCCGTTATAAAACATATTACAAAACTTCAATTAGAACCACCACCTCATACACTAAATAATCTTAAATGCATGCAAAATAAAAGCTTTGTACGATTGCTTTTAAAATGATACAAATATTTGAAACTGCGTATGATAACGTGTTAAGCGGAAATTTAATTGAAATATGGTTTGATATGTTAAGTGTCCCAGGACATACCTTTATTTCTAATATGTGACGTTTTAGGAAGCTATTGGCTGAGATAAAACAAGATGATTGGTTAAAATAGAAACAGTTTGTTCATAAAAATGCGAGAATATTTTGATGGTGTGATTTCTCAATTATTTCATTAATATTATTAGTTAAAATGTCAGTAACAAAGTCTTAACAAGTAATATTATTCAAAACTGATCAATAAGTTTCTTCGTCAAAGTCTCTGACTGCAAACTTAGTGAGACCATCGCCATCGTTATTAGCACAACTTGTTCTACTGCTGCTGACATAATAATCAGAGCGTCCTCTATTTTTCCCATCGTCCTCTGTACCATAAACATCGGCATCATCAACTTCAGCCATTTTGACGAGGTACAACTGGCCAGATTGCTGACGAGCATGACGACGATAATAATTCTCATCAATTGTTTGATTCAAGTTGGACATATTTATGTTCAAAAAACTCTTGAAAACCTGATCCTGCGCATCATCGTCATTTTCATTACGTTTGATGCCATCAGCACCCCCAACGTCACCAACACCAACATCGCCAACATCATTATTTCCACCATCAATATCGCTGCAATCCTCTTCATCGTCATTAAAGACAACAACTTCTACACCCTTGTGAGGCTCCATTTTTTCTGATGATATGACAACTTCGTAGTGAAGTACATCTTGGCGCTGTTGCTGCTGATTCACACGAGTTTCTGATAACTGCAAAGAAACATTTAAACCGCATTATAACACTAACGAAATGATGACGGAATTTAAATTATTAATATTACTATTATTCACTCTTAGATATTCCTCATATGCTCAATTTAGGATAATTTTTGCATTTTACTTTTAATGACATCTGACCATATAAATTTTGGTCAATAGACTCATTAATTAATCAGGACAGCCACCTCACCTCCATTACACAGCGAATCTGAAGGTTCATATTTCTCTAACCCTAACCCTTTACATAGATATCATACCATGTGTAATTTCTTTACATTAGTTTCTAAGCAAAACAACTTTGATTGTTTCACTTTCACAACGAAACAATAATTACGATAATAAGAATTACAATAAATTGAAACAGCAGAGCGTTGACTTGGTGCTAATACCAAGTATTAAAAATTATGAACAACCCTTTTAGAAGCACGTTCCAATGTTGCCATAGTGACCAGCATTGTCTGATTTGGCGATAGCGGTGAGGAAGACGACTCTGAATCTGAAAAATTATCATAAGATCAGTTTCATCACGCCATTTTCATCATATTTTCATCGAAAACGACATGACTGGTATTTGCGGCGGCATGTTAATTAATTATTGAATCTAAAGATGCTACGAAACCTCATATTTAAGACCACCATCACACGCCATTCTCATCATCACCATCATCATTGTCGTCATCACCATCATCATTACTATCATCATCGCTATCATCATTCTCATCATCACTATCATCATCTTCGTCATCACCATCATTTCTATCATCATTGGCGTAACGGACACTGACCTTCCTTAACAATAGTAGATGATGATACATCAGATCTGACGTTGCTGCTCAGCAGAATCTGAGGCTCTTCAAGCACCGAGGAGGAGGGAGCAGGCGGTGCCATTCCACCAAACGTTGGAAGCCCCTTTCGATGACAACAACGACGCCAGCGATAACAATTATACCAATGACGATATATTGATGATGATGAAAATTACATAATAACAATGATGATGACAATCAAGGCCATAGGATATGATTAGGATATTACCCTTCATTTTCATGCAGACGATGCAACACAGACCGATATAGAAAAGAATACAGAGAGTAACAGAAATTGCTTTTTATTTAAATTGAGTTCGTCCTTTATTATGCCGTTGGAAAATGAAGAGCCACTCACGTGTCGTTCATCACTTAATTTCAAACAAGCCATAAAATGCCATAAAAGCTCTGCACGCACAAGCACACGTCAACTCATGCTTTCACACTGAAGCACAACAACGCGTGCACAGATCACTTTGCACACCCAGTTAAGGAGTCAGGGTGTCGAAGTCAGCTAAAAATCTGACCGACTACAACTTAATTGAAATTTTCCAACTTCGGGAAAAATTTTCGACTTCGACTTCAAGTGCAAATGTTTATAAACTTCTGCTTTACAATTTGAAACCAATACCATACAACGACCTAGGTTTAAAATTAGTTGATATAATTCTTTTTATTTCTAAAATTATTTTGTTTTGATTCTATATTTATGTTCTGAAAATTAACGAAAAAAACCATTTAAATTATTGTGCACTGCTTAACTTTCATGGATGTATAAAAAATATCAATTCTTTTGCGTTGCTATGATGCAAATTTTAGCATCATTACGGGAGTGACATAGTGCTTATTTCTTCCAAAATCATTCTCACCATCGACACCATCCACCAACTGCTGTAGCACTATCATTATCATCATTGCCATCATCATCATCATCATCAAATAATTTCAGGACGTACGACAACCTGCAACTTGGAAGTGGTGTGGTCTTCAATCAATTCCGCGTTTAGCACATTCCTGTGTGAACCGTTTGACATTTCTTCGTGTTTCATCAGACCTTCCTCATTCTTTTTTATTTTACCACTGTGGTTCGATACCATCTCGATTTTATTTGCTTTTGTTGATGACGTGATTTGTTGCGATTGCTGTTTTTTGTCATTAGCGCCAACAGTTAAGTATTTGGTATCGCCTAATCTATCGGTGTTATCAATCAATGTTTCATGTTTTATTTTAACAACTTTTACTTGGTTGCCAATTGATTCTGGTGGTGGAGATGAATGTGAGGAAGATTGTGGGGGAGGTGTTGCTGAGGCTGCCTTTCCATCACTTCTAACCACAACTGCATCGTGAGCTTTTTTCAAGTTGATGTGCAATCTGTACGACAAGATTGGCATTTTGTTTGCTGATATTTTATTGACAAATTCAAATTTTAAAAATGTATGGAATACTCAATGTGTAATTCATAAAGTTAACATAATCCTTATAACGCTGAGTTAGAACTTATAATATAGATTCTATACTCTTTCCACAATGTTCTTACCTCAATGTTCTTTCCACAATGTTTTTCCTTAATGTTGTTTCTACAATGTTTTTCAACAATGTACTTCCCCATATTCTTCCTCAATGTTTTTCCTCAAGGTTCTTCCTACAATGTTCTTTCTTACTCAATGTTCTTCCCAACTTTGTTTATCAATGTTCTTCCCACAGTGTTCTTACACCTACCCCCACGCAATGTTCATACCTCTGTGTTCATCTTCAATGATCTCACCTCAATATTCTTACCTCTATGTTCTTCCTCAATGTATTTCCTCAATGTTCTTCCACAATATTGATCCTCAATGTTCTTTCCCTAGATTATTCCCACAATGTTCTTACTTCTATACTCTTCCAACACTGTTCTTACTTCTATACACTTCCCACAATGTTCTTACTTCTATGTTCTACTTCAATGTTTTACCTCAACATTCTTATCACAATGTTTATCTTATCTTATGTTTATGTTATCTTATCTTCCTCAACGTTCGTCCCACAATGACTCTTCCCACAATGTTCTTACCTCTATGTTCTTTCTCAATGTTCTACATTTAATGTTTATGGTCAATGTTCTTCCACAATGTTATTCCTTGAAGTTTTTCTTCAATGTTCTTACCCTAATGCTCTTCCTCGATACTTTTCTCACAATGTTTATCGTTTATCATCAATCTTCTTCCTTAATGTTTTTTTTAATGTTCTTACCTCAATGTCCGTCCTTACTACAATGTTTATCCTCAATGTTCTTGCACAATGTTCTTTCCCTAGCTTCTTTCCCACAATGTTCTTACATCTATACTCTTCCCACAATGTTCTTACTTTTATGTTCTTCTCACAATGTTTATCACCAATGTTCTTCCCAAAATGTTTTTACATCTATCACAATGTTCTTACCTCTATATTCTTACTCCAATGTTCTTGCTCAATGTTCTTCCCACAATTTTCTTTCTCAATGTTCTTTCTCAATGTCCTTCCTCAATGTTCTTACATCTATTCTCTTTCCCAAGGTTCTTCCTCAATGTTCTCCCCAAAAAGTTCTTCCTTAATGTTGATCTTACAATGTTTTTCCTCAATATTCTTCCCACAACGTTCTTCTCAAAGTTCTTACCTCTAAGTTCTTTCTCAATGTTTTTACTTCTATGTTCTTCCTCAATGTTCATCCCACAATGTTTTTTTCACTATTCATTCCTAAATGTGTTTTCCTCAATGTTCTTGCTACAAAGTTCATCTACAATGCTCATCCTCAACGTTCTTTTAGAGTTTAAAAATTGTTATCAAATGCTGATAATCTCGCATACACAACTCCAATGTCAACCTAAAATCTTCATGTAGCAGCAGAATTAATTTTGAAGCATTCATCAAAATTTTTCCCATAATGTTCTCACTTCTGTTCTTCCCGCAATGTTCTTACCTTAATGTTCTTACTTCTATTTTCTTCCTCATCGTTCTTCCCACAATGTTCTTCCTACATTGGTCATCCTCAATATTTTTCTTACAGTTTGCATAAACATTATAAATCATGCAATTTTCAGCAACATACAAAAGAGCTTTTTGTGAGTCTTGAAGTGTTTATTTTAAATTTAAGACATACAAACCTTGAAACCATTGTTTCCTGACAATTTACCATCCGAGGTGGAATATGGGATTCCAAATGCGACTGACATTTCATCAAATCTGATAGCCCCTTCTTTTCCAGATCTGATTCTTGTTGTTGTTGAAGATGGTGGTGACTATCATAAAGAGCTGGAACCATTTGAGTTTCTTCCTTCAAAATGTTCTCTGCTAGTTGCGAACTATTGAATTTTGTCTGATTTTGCTGTTGTTCCATTTGAAGAAGTTGTTTGGAAACCAACGATCCCATATTCGAAACTTGCTCTTTTTTGTTGATCAAATGTTTAATATCCATTTGCATGCATTTACTGCTAACGTTTAAACGTTGAGAGCAGCATGATTGCTGTTCGTTTGCAATCAAATTGTCAGAAACATTTGATAGTTTCTGTTGCGCGACATCATTACCACTGGCGCACGTCATCCGACTTGCTGGTAGCCATGGACTGCTATGTTCAGGATCTAAGGTCATATTGTAACTTCCAGACATCTGAGGTTAGTTTTAAATTACCTTAAATTGAGGAAACATTCAACTAAGAAACGTAATATTATCAATAACATCATACATGTATACTGACATAAAACGTATTATCATATATGATTTATTATTATAACAATGCAAAAATTTTGTTTATGGATTGAAAGCAATTATGGCAAAGCTTTTAGCTGTATAGATATTCAAAACAATTAAAATAAATAGTTAACTTAGTACTTCAGCAGAAACTCTGGAAATATATCTTTAATTATGTTAACGACATCTTCACCAAAATTGGATAAATGTCTAGTCTACATGCCAAACTCCATACTTGTTGCATTAAAAATGCAGATGCCCTCCAATCAGATATGAGCCGAGCCTCAACTTAAATCCACCTCTGAACACTTTGAGTTCACAACTCATAATGTAGTAATTTCTCACCTTACCATCGGTTTCCTACAATTTACTTAATCTTAACACTTTTAAGTCAGTCCAACCTAACGATATATCTTTTTCCTTCCATTTCCAAAGTTGTTAACTTTTTGGCTCAGTCAACAACCACAACTTTTTCCCACGTTTCAGCTTTCATTAATTCAACAACCACGCCTCATTTATTTCATTTCAAAAACCTCCTATA